GCATACCCCATCAGCACAACCGACAGAGCCGCACCAGTCAGATGTGCAGAAACAACCAATCGAAACACAAGGACAGCGCCAGGAACAGGTGGACCCAACTATTGCAGTCCGCAGGTCTAGCCGTCAGGCAAGCCAGATTGACGAGGCACTCTTGAGGGAAGAGAGTTGTGGTGATTCAGACTTCCGTGACCGCAATCCATGCACGACTAGGTACAGTTTCATGTCATCCAATCACCGTTCAGGAAGCTCGACCAATGGTACACTGGGCGAACGTGACATCCGAGTTAGTACGTATGATGCGTCGGCGTAAACGGTTACGTAATTGGACGACGGCCCTTCAACCAACCATATGAGCTACTACCTTCTATAAAACATGCTCTAATTCCATCAATAAATATAAGCATTTGCTGCTATCAATTCCTCGTGTATTTCATTGGTGTCAGCAGTTCGGTTTGGAACCAATTCAGTTCTGAGCAGTACAGTACGGATTCTCGTATACCTAAATTCAATACTATTCCGAGTATTACAGTGTCGCCCCGTGGTTTGCATCATCATTATTATTGCATCATTATTATACTGTTATATATAGAATAATATTAAAATGAAAGGTGCGTAGAATGGGCTCGAAATAAGATTGTCCGATCGGTTGATGGATTCTGTTCTTTATAAGTGTAATCCCGGTTAATGCTGCGCTGTGGAGCTGAAGGAGTTTGCTGAGACAGTTAATGAACCGTTGGACGATAACTGATGATGTCCGTGTCGTGCTTCAACAACACTCGGAGAATACGTGGGTAGTCAAGATCAGAGGTTTTGTATTGTGTTGTTTTTGCTTTTGTGTATTAAAATAGTCTATACAGTAATATCACAGAAAAGTAGACGGAAAAGTAAGACACCGCATGTGGTAATTACTTAATTCTGTTTTTTTTTGGAGAGGTGGAACGACTTTTTGGAAGGTGCTTTGTTTTTCAAATCTCACACACTTGACTGTTGCACTGATTCTGTTCCGTCATTTGAAAACGTGCATCGTAAACAATTTCATTTATCATCTACATACGGTGGAAATGTTTGTGATAAGCGACTAAGAGTACTGGACAGCTGTTTCGTCCTATTTGGGACTCGTTAGCAGTGTGTACTTTTTGTGTCCCTGTCAGGAATTGAACTGCAAACATTTGGGTCGGGACTTCAAACCCTTTCCCCTTAACTACACGGTCGACGTTCATCATCATCTGCCAATGGCTCAAACAATTTAGATGGTGAATGGTTGGATTAGCCCATTCGGTTTTTTCACAAGCACCAGGCACTGACGATGACGAAACAGCTGTCAAGTGCTCTTAGTCGGTTATCACAAACATTTCCACCGAATTTAAATGCATTTAAATAGTGTGCAATTAACATTCTCCTCAGGAGCGAAACCGACACCGAACATCATCAACAATTTCTGGTGCCTGTGAAAAAACCGAATGGGTTAATCCAAGCATTCACCATTTAAATTTCATTTCTCGCCTGTTATTTAGAGGAACAAACTGAATGCACTGTCTGTGGGCATTACGTTAATGTAAACCCGGTAAGTCATTTATTGATGGTGCGAGTTTTATTATTTTTTTTTAAATTACACAGTGTGATGGGCGGCAGACTGGGAAAGCCCCATAGTCACGAGGACCTACTGTTCAATGATGTAAACCGGTAACGTAAGCCCCGGGATGTGGAATGGCGAACCGGACGACAGCAAACCTGCCTACCACCAAAGTTGGGTGGCGGGGTTCGAACCTCCGACCACAGGTTCCATAGCACACGGGTGACAGCGACTTAACCACTGCACTACCACCCGGGGTCCTGGAAAGCCCACAAGGTGAACGTTCTATCTGAAACAAAACAAAAGATAATTTCTTGTAAACCGCTCATAGAATGCGTTTGAGGTGACCTTATCTTCATTTCGTTACTTCTGCATTTTATTCTTCCTGATGGTGACC